ACACACACACACACACACACACACACACACACACACACACACACACACGCACACGCACACACACATTGATAACAAGCATATTTGACTGACTAGAGGGCAGCACATACACCCCATGCTGCTTTCATTTTCTCTGGCACAGACGGAGCTTTTCTCCTCCCCGGCCCTCCTTAACCCGCTGTCACGGTCATAGTGGGTTGAACTGATTACTTCAACAACGACGGTGGGGAATATTAACATGGACTATTGGTGATAAAGCAAAGTACTTTTTCCCCTCTTGAATACTTGCAAGACACACCCAATAAGCTCTCATACAACAGCTGGACAAATGTGTCTCTCTTCCGATCATATTCTCAATTTTGATAATTGAGTGGTATTAATTCATCCGTGTTTATTGTTACGTTGTCGTTCATTATTAGTTTTATTTAGTTACATTTAATTGAGAGGGGGGACTATTAGGAGCAGTTCTCAGTATGATGCGGTGGAGTTAAGAACCACTGCAAAATCTAACCACAGTAATAAAAGCATCTAAATGAATACACCACTCAAAAAATAAAGGGAACACATCATAGTCACAGCGTCACTCCAAGTCGTTCCCACTTCCGGGATATCAACCTGTCCCTTTAGGAAGCAATTACAGTTGTGAATCAATTTCATCTGCTGCTGTGCAAATGGACAGACACCGGGTGGGAAAGAGAGGCAATAAGCAGTTCAACCACTATTAAGGAATCATTTTGTCGGTGGATTTTGCATTTTTTTCCCATAGCCGCTAGTAGTTACATGAGAAGTGAGCGTTTTTAAAATTTTATTTCAAAAGTACTTCTCACAGGAAAAACTTTTGATTTACATGGTTAAGATAACTAGCCAAAACAGCGCCACAAACATTATTCAGTTAATACAAGAAAATAACATATCAAAGCAATTCATAATCACTCAGGAATTAAGTTTACCGGAATGCCTGCCTAAAGAAATACAAAAAGACCTAGCCTACAGAAGTTTTTCATGTATAGTGCAGCTCCAAGATAATTATTTATCCCTGCGCGCTGGTGACCATGTATCATACATCGGGAGCGTGCTCAGACGTCGTGGGAATACTTGAAGGCCCGTGGAGGCCGTATGCACTACTGAGCCACATTTTGAGGCGGGGGTTGTGTGTGTGTGCGTGGGGGGGGGGGGGTTCTGTCTCATTCAGATGAGACGCTCATCACACCGCCTCCCTGGAGTGCTGGGTCACTGCTGAGTGTGGCTGTCATTACCATGATGACTAGTAGCAGACTTTTGGCATTGCAGTGAATCAAGAGCTGCTGCTAGCAAGGGGTGAAAGCAAAGCTCATAAATATTGCATTGTTGTTTCACTCGTGGAGGAAGCGTTTCACTGCCAAGGTGTTGATTTACACATTTCAATCTGTGCGGTGAATTTGTGCGACATTCGAGCATGTGACGGCTAGCAGAAGCTAACACTGATCCCACGATTAGCTAATACTCATCTGTGCGAAGACTGAAGCTCTGCTTTCCATCTGAAATTACCCTCAGTGTTTTATTGCTTGGATTCGGCCATCATTCTGGTTATGTTATTTTTGATACAAGATAAGTAACTTCATCAAGAGTTTTATTTTGACATATAGGAGTAATTCGGGGCAAACTGACAAATGTCTGGCCTTGAGCCCGGGATTTCTTCCTTCGTCTCGCAGTCAGTCTCACACATTCAGAGTCTTAGGAGGCCCAGAATGAGGGCCGGTTAGCACCTTTTGTTTAAAGGCCGCTTTTCTTTTGCCAACAGGACAATTGAGGCCTGTATAACAACACAGACTCATTAAAAAGATGTGAGAATGTGGCTCGGTTTGTCTGGTGTCAACATGGCAGCTCAGGCAAGCCAGCAGATGATTAAGGACATAAAAAGGGGGTGAGGGGGTGGAATTACGGATGGATGACAAATCAAAGGAGAAATAGGATATGAGAGTGTAGAAATGGAACAAATACCGACGCTTCCGCGCAAACAGAAAGGTTGCTGAATGGTCACTCACCATTTGCGAGCAATATGTTCATCTGCTTTCACACACAAGGCTCAAAAGCAGATTCGAGAGAAATGCATCGCATCCTTATGGTTCTCTTTCTCTGGCACATGTCAACAGGTTGCGTTTCTCCATACTTTATCGTTGAGTGGCAGTTAACTCAGGCTCTTTCCACTTGACGTGGAACATATTTGGTTGCCACAATGAAGGTTGTCTTCATCTTCAAGTGGCATTCCTTCTCTGCCTCTTGTATCCTCTATGACACTCGTTTGGATATTTACGAGCCACAACATTGGGTATGGCTGTCACATAAAGCAAATACATACATAAAATATTGTACAGCGCACGCAACCACGCAGATGTATCCAATGAAGTATCCAGTGTACATTACAGGGATACATACAACACTAGCAGTGGGATACTGTACTTCAAGTAATGTAATAAAAATCAAGTGTATTGATACAGTGGAATACGGTAGCTTTAGGATTTATCCGTTTACAACTCACATAATAAATGTCATTGTTTGCTGAAGCAGTGGAATTGTTGTGCATGTATTGTGTTTTGTAAGCCTATTTATACGATTACACGCTTCAGACCGTAAGCACAGATAAGGCTAGTAGCCTGCGTAAAAATGGGAAAATGGGATTCAGTGTCTTTAGGTCACAGATGTGACGTTGTCATGCTCAGTCTATTGGAAAATAATCAGTGTTCTTCTTGTGCACGGTGAGGAGATGGTGATTATTTGACAATCCGCTAAGTATCATGTCCCATATCAAAAATCACCCGTACATCATTCAAGATCAAAGCAGTTGGACTCAAAGCATACTTAACCTAAGCATCCGTATCCCATTCTTCAAGTTGACACAAACACTTCGCATTACGTCAGAGCTCATGGGGAACATTAGCTGGCTCGCCTTGCTCCGCTGCATCGCTTTTCCCTTTTATGGTCCTCCCTGTTCAGGATGCATATAAGATTAAATATTTTATTGTCACACTCAATGCACTTAGCGCGTCAGCAAACTAAATCACAGGAGGATGGCATGTCATAGAGAGGAGACACCTTGGGTTGACTAAGTCGTGGCGAGCTGGCACGAATCGATGAGCAGGACTAATCTGGACGCATCTGATGGGCCGGGCCCTGCCCTGAATCCGAATGATGGACACCAGATGGGTAGCGATGTGGCCATTAGAACAGCATCGGTGCGTCACACAGTATGGACAAGGTCCTCCTTGTCGATGAGGAATAAAATCTTCAATACGGCCAGCTGAGGTCGTTACATTCCGAGAATCGAGATGGCTGGTTTGTGTTTGAACTAGAAAGCCATTTGTGTGTACATTTGATTTTGGCAGACTCCACTTGGGAGTGCCAGAAGCCATCAGAAGGGCAGGACAAGAGAAGACTTAATAATCATGTGTTTTTAAACTTGTCCTTTTTCCATTCTTGTACTGTTAATTACCCTCTGAATGAATAGGCTGTATAAATAAATCTGTCTGCCTTAGTCCATGGGCTCTGACTTACAACGCTTCTTGACAAATGATTACAATTAAAATAAATTTGAGGCCCTGCATTAATCAGCCATCGTTCAATGAAAGGTCATTGCAGGTGTTAAGGGACCCCAAAAAAAAAAAATCTTGTACCATACACATCCCTGTACTGTAATTCCAGTCATACAACACAATGTTGCTCATCTTATATCAAAAGGTCGAAACAGAACAGCCCCAATCCCCTCATTGAAAGATTGCTGCAAGGTGGAATGTTGTTTTAAAGATTTGGACATTCCATGGGCTGATAAAGAATTAATGATATTTCTTATTCTTGAACTGAATCGGATCACTCAACATTGGTGTGAAAGAAGCTGTTTTCAATGACTTACACCTAGTTTGTCAGAAATTTTACAGTAATGGTGTTTGGTTTTCTCTCTCATTGGTTCCACTGTGAAATCAGTCAGCAGCACATATACGCACACCCACAGGCAGAAACACACACACACATCCACACACTCACATACACTATAAAGTGACCCAATTGTCTAAATATTTATTTGGCCTGAAACTAAAGTGTTTTGCTTTCCAACTTTGATCCACAATGTTGTGATATTCCATCATACGCCATACATGCTTTGCAATTTGAAGCAGATTCCCATTGCCCCCAAGCTAACAAAATTCAGCGGACACCCGCATATTTGCAGTTCAGCACCCACAGATTCACATATTTGCAATTTTTTTTCCAATTTTGAACCCTTAACCTTTTCAATATTTTGTAATATTTTGACATAAGGGGGGGATGATTTCCCCCAATTAAAAACGCGTATTGAAGCTTTGTCAGCATTTTTTTTTTCAAGAATTTAGGGGGTTTAAAACAAAGACCCCTTCTCCCCCACCCATCATGTAGTTCAATGGGCAAAAAGAATACATGGATTTTCGCTCTTGGCAGGTCATTCCATTCCCTATCCTTGGTGAACACCGGGGGTCCACTGTAATGTATACCAGGCCAGTAGTTGGCAATGTAACGCTGAGCACAGTATCACAGCGTAAGAACATTGCATTTTAAAAGCAGTCACTGAAGCAAACTTTCAGAACACAACCAAAGTCGCATTTCCATCACTATGACTGTAGGGTAACAAATAATTTACGTGCATAAGTGTTTCATTTACTGGCATGTCATGTCATGTTCCTGGGTAACTTAAACGTTTGAAATGAATTCCACATGTAAAACTTAAAGTTGATGTAGGCCAGGGGTGGCCAAGTCCGGTCCTTGAGAGCCCCCATCCAGCCTGTTTTAGATGTCTTCCTCCTCCAGCACACCAGATTGAAATGATCAGATCATTTGCAAGTTTTGCAGAACTGATAATGATCCATCCATCCATCCATTTTCCGATCCGCTTTATCCTCACAAGGGTGGAGCCTATCCCAGCTGTAGGCGAGGTATACCCTGAACTGGGTACAACCAGCCGCACTCACACTCACACAAAGGGACAATTTAGAGTGTTCCATTAACCTGACATGCATGTTTTTGGAATGTGGAAGGAAACTGGAGTACCCGGAGAAAACCCACGCAGGCACGCGGAGAACATGCAAACTCCAAACAGGAATGTAACCTGACACTGTGAGGCCGACGTGAAAGAATCATTTTTCTTACTACCAGCACAATTCAAAGGTCTTTGAAAAATGAAATGCAACCACACATTTTGTTATTTCGAGAAAATAACCAGGACAAATAATAATTCAGACTAACCATATCCAAATTGATCATTTCCAGCTTCATCTGCCTTCTCATTATTCCAACCACTTGCCAAAATTGCCTTCACAAACACAAACCCATGCACACAGTTTGTATGCCTTTGCAAACACAAACCCAAGCACGCGGTTTGTATCGTATTGCTGCCAAAAACCTGTTGCTAGTTAGTGCTATGCCGTTAACTGTTGATGTTTGCTGACTCACTGATAATTGTGTTAACATACCAAAATATGTGTCCTTAAATATGTGGTGGACATCCTGGAGTTGCACAATCAACACCTGAATATATACGAGTTAGTTGTGAAATGTTGACAAGATCTCGTTCCTTCAAGTATATCAACTCCACCAAGGAAAGTTGGGATGAAGGGGGAAAAAAAATACCCACTTTTATCCTTTCGTCTATGCCAGAAAAGTCCAACATGGTCTCATTAACAAGCACCCGAAGAGGCGCAAATGACAAATCACAGTATGTGCTAAATAAAGGTGACACTGTGAAAATCCTCTGGCTGCTACCTATCTCATCATTATGAGCGCATTATGAGAGCATTATGAATGAATGTAATAAAAGTGAATTAAGGCAGGACACCGCGGATACAGATATTATGAGCGCATTGTACCTCCCCTATCATGACTTCTGCAATGAGGGCCTCCATTTGTAGAGGCCCTCCTCAACTGTGAGTGATACTTACTGTACATACAATCATGAGCAAAAAGCTGGAAAGAGCGAGGGGGTGGGTAACTATCGAGTCCTCTTTGGTGCTCTACTCTTTCATTATAGCAATGAATGTGCATTCAGTTCTGCATGCTCAAGTCTCAATTTGAAACCCCGCTACGAAATTGATGCTTCACTGTCTTTTTACGGCTCTGCTCCAGAAAGAAATTATAGATCCACAGTACGGGGACAAAGCTAATAGCCAAATTGCTCAAAGCAAAGTGGCACAGAAATAGCAGTGTGAATCTGTTCAAGCAAGAGAACATTAATTTCTTATTAATACCACTTGATTCTCTGTTCAAATTCTACTTTCTTAGCTTTTTGCTATGTCATTGCTCTAAGGCAGAGGCCAACAATTCAGAAGCTTGACTCTGCATCATTTATGAAGCTACAATCGCATTAGCGTGTGCTTAGCCTTCTAATTGTCATCACCATGATTAAAAAACGTTTTTCAACAGTCCCATTTGTCACTCTGAACATAAAAAAAAAAAAAAAATGGACATTTGATGTATGAGTAAATTGTGTTACCAGCTTGGTAATGTAATGAATGAAATTTGTAAGTCAAGGTACCAAAGTATTTCTATTTCTACAATTTCCTACGAGCTTCCCGGAACAAGCTGTGTTCAGCAGCCGAGGAGCTTTCACTGAATTAGCATACATCCCAGACATGCGATTGTCGAAAATTATTCCTGTTTCTCATCTCACCTCACAGTGACCGATTGGTGCAACTATTTTTCAATTGCAAGAGATCGTTATCTTTTCGTGCTCTTAATTTGTCTTTCTCTGTTGAAGGATGGAGTCGGAGTTATGACTCAGGAGTGACGCCCTTCACACCCGCAATGTGATGTCATTAATTCTTTCCCATCCAGTGATGTGATGCACGAAAAACGTGAGATCAATCACAATGATTTTCAGATAACCGCAGAATGTTGAGGAATGACTATGGCAGCACCTCCGTCGACTCATGAATCAGAGTAAGTAATAACACAATACCAAATATAATCCTGACAAAAGCCTAGAAATAATGTGACTGATACTATGTGCGAAGAGAACACCCTTGTCCTGACTTACCTGAAGGATTTGCAAAGGCATCTAGACTTTGAGTACTTTTAAAGATATTTCAACTTTCGCAGGAGAGATATTTTTGGCTCTACAAAATGGGATAGGACCTGTCTCAATTCCCAAAACATTTAAATGATATTCATTCTTACATTAACTATCTTTCCTGAGATTTAATTTTGATGAGTGTAGAACTCTAGATCTTAACAGGCTATGGAGGTGGAGTGTCCTTAAGCTGCCCTGTTGGTCCCTTTGAGAGAAGTCTTTGGTACAAGTGAGTAGGTTGAGAAAATTTGGAGGGATAAAACAAGTCTTTCACAATTAAAAGTCTAGTTTGCTTTCCTGGATTGTGGTTTGACAGTACAATTCATGAGGGACTGCAGTGTTTTGGTTCTCATATTTGCTTCCGAACTCCTCTTTCAACTGTGTATTGTGGAAAATAAATACAAATGGGGATTAGCAAACGTTTTGTAGAAGCACTGCGCACAAATCTCAACCTGAGCAACAACACAACAATAATGCCCCTTTTCCACTGCTACACTACTCAGTTCTATTCACCTTGATGATCCACTTCATGAAATACAGTGAAAACCAAGCTGCCATGAACACATTAAAAACAAGGGCGAGGGTCTCCTGTATTTTCTGCTCACTATGAGGCAGTTGGCCACAGTAAGGAAACCAATTTTGGTGGTTTGACTACAGCAACAGAGTGGAGCCTATGAAGTATAAGTCTGCAGTGTCTCCAGCTAATACACAAGTTAGCAAATGAGAACCTATTCGATAGATTGCCAGGTAGCTCGGTAACCATTTAGCTAGGTAGCTAGCCATAGCTAGGTAGCTAGCCATAGCTAGCTAGATGGATGGATGGATGGGTGGATAGATAGATAGATAGATAGATAGATAGATAGATAGATAGATAGATAGATAGATAGATAGATAGATAAGCAAGTGGAGAAGTGTTGAGCTGTGTCGAATATGCACCTGTCAAGGAATAGGGCCAAGGACTCTGTTGTCGTGGTTGGTCCACCAGCAGTTTTCAAGATCACTGTAGGAGTTGACCGTGCATCACCATGGCAATGCCAGCGATGTTACAAAAGGTTCGAATCCTATATGTTGTTGCTTTAATAGCTACACGTGAGCTTGGACGTTGAGGGGTCTGTTGAAGCTACAAAGAGTACAAAGCTGTCTTATTAGTTATATTTACTTCAACTAAACAGGTTTTGGCCAGCGTTCATTCATCTTTGAGCATCTCCCCAAAGTTTTGAGTAGATTTTGCCCTGGGGCCAAACACTTGAGTTAGATTTCTAAGAGGACTATGGAGCTCTAAGTTTGGATTTGGCATGGTTGAGATATTTTGGATATCTGACTGGATATATGATGAGTAAAGAATATCAAGACAACATTGATATCGGTGTCAGGATTGCACATTCCAACACCTGTGAGCTGGTAGGCCAGCACAATACCAAAGGCACTCTCAGTATCACTGTGTTTGACTAATACCAACTTGTCAGCACCATGTATCACAGCAGTTCAGGATATTGGAGCAATTACCTTCATAGAGAACCCCCTAGGAGCACAGGGGTCATCTGAGTCCAATTCATCTGTGAGACCCAGTCAAACAGACCTAACAACGCCAACGCCATCATAATTACTGGTGGCATTTGCTGACAGAGAGGCCAAGCGGGCCTAGCCTCCGCTGGTGTGTTTTATCATTAAGACAAAGAACAGAAGAAGGCATCTATCAGACAGCGAGCGGCCTCTCACCCATCTCAAACAGATGTCTGCAGGGTCTTTGTGACAATCACAACACAATCACATGCATTATCCACATTCCCTAAAGACACATTTTAAATTAGTCTGTTGTTCCAGAACTTGAAGTTCAGACGTTCTTGTCATATTGAACAATGACGCTGCATTTGAGACTGTTGGGAAGTAGGTAATGTCCCACTCAGAGCTTTCAAGGTCAAACCTCAAAGCATTTCAGTCAAATGTAAACAAAAGACACGGCTTACAACCACGATAAATTAAACTAGACTCCCAAGGACAAACACAATCCATTCAGGGATGCTGATTAACCCCAGATTTGTTCACATTTCAAAACAACTTTTCCCAGAGGAAATAAGGGCAGCAGTAATCCACTTGCAATGTCCAACTGTCACCATTATAAGACAGCTACACTGTAACCGTTAACATAATGTTTTGAGTTTTGTAGTTCGCAGAAGTGGGCATTCCGTCAAACTGACAGGAGGTCCATCAGTCCGTCGCTGTTTTCGTCACTATCTCAGGCCAACGTGGGCCAAGTCTGTCCCTTGTAAATTTCTTAAGTGTGCAGAACCTGCGTGTGATGTAGTAAGCCTAAGTCCGTTCTCGACTGTCCGTTTGCCGACGACTCAGACGGACTAGGCCGACCTGAAATACTGACGGGAGCTCACTGATGGACTTACTGGGTGGACTATGCTGACCTCTGGTAGTTTGAATCTCGACTTGTACATCAGTGGAGTTTGCATGCTCTCGTTTTGCTTTGTTTTCAAAAGAGTTCCTTACCAAATGCACTTGTTTTTTGACTCATTTTATTTCTTGTTATAAGTATTTAAATAAAGTGTTTCGAATGAGGTAACTTCTGTGGCAGCCAACAAAAGTCACAGACTTGTCTAATTACCGAGCCTTGGGAGTGATTGAATGATGAGAGAGCAACGCTGCTTTTTCAGGTTTGAATATGTACCCTGCCTCATTAAACTGCAGCAAGAGTGTGTTGGAAAATGCTCAGTGATCCGGATGCTAATGAGTTAATGAGCTTGGTGTTGTTGTTAGCCTTGTCTTGCACGCCACGAGGTCCAGTTGCATTTCTATGGAGAGCGAGGCGGATGAGCATGTCGAGATATTGCAGGAAAGTGTCAAAAACAGGAGAAACAATGATTTTTAAGGGCATCATAATGTGCTATTTATACCTTAAAGTCTGAGTTGCGGTAAAAGAAGAAATGGAAGAAATGAGGCTAACTGTTAGCTTATTTGGTAGCTACAGTGCAGATGCAACACTACTGGTTAAGGCACTTGTAAAGATTGAAATGTCATAGTCTCAAAGTGCTAGAGATTAAAAAAAAAGAATTTGAACTCGGTAAAGGTGTTTGAACCCTCGAAGAATTTATGTTTGAGATGAGGCACGTAGTGAACATTTCCATGTAGTCACTGCAGGACCAAATAGCTTTTTTGGAGGCCTATCAGCCTGGAGGAAGAAACCTCAACACTCTAAATATATGTTGTGTAAAGAAAACCGCGCATCATCTGTGGCATGCGTCACATCCGAGCAGCGGTGAAAGAAAACACATTTGCCTTCATGTCAATCAAAGTCACATCACGAGGAATTGGTGGGAAGCAAGAGGACGGGGAATCTTTTTTTGAAGATAAATGAGCACAAGCGTGTCCGGATTTGCTGACTGTCAACCGCTCAGGAAGTATACCGCACGATCCGGCTCTTACCTGTAGCGGCATCTCGGCGGCCTCCCCCTGCCCACCTGCCTTGCCTCTCTCTCATGCTTTCTTGCCTCAGGCAAGACATGGGACCTCCTGACATGGGAGACGCAAGAACACGGGCAACAATGACAGCCTTCCGATGGATTTGTGCACCAGTGCAGGCCTTGGGGAGAGAAGGGGAGATGCAGTGAGCTGGACAAAGACAAACATGTGATCCATAGCTGGAAAAGGGATGAAGTTTCATGGAACGACAGATATGGACCACAAGCATTGGTGCCTATTTACTCATAATATGACAAGAATGTACAGCTGAGAAACAAATCCATCAATTTGTATTGCACTCGCCCTCAATAGGGTCGTGAGTGTCGAGCCTGACTTTGTGCGAGAGGTTGGGTGTAACCTGGAGTGGTCGCCAGTCAGTTGGAGGGGTCGCCAGTAAATCAATGGGGACGTATTGATAAACAATCAATCACACTCACATCCACACCCATGGAAAATTTAGAGCAGGGTTCGCCAACCTTTTTGAAACAGAGAGCGACTTATTGAGTACTGATTCATGTGAAATTTCCTTGGAGTTACAAGCTATTATTAAGATCTAATTTCCCGCCATATTGATTTCTCATCTGGCAGCGTGTCTCCCCTGTTCCGATCCCTCGCCGAGGCGCCCGAGACTTGAACAACTTGTAAACGCAGATAAGGAGGCCGACAGCGCGTCTCACTTTGACATCTATCTGGCTGTTTTTGTTTTTTTTTTGTTTGTTTTTTACGAGGCCTTTAGACAATCTTTGCCCTTTTACTCCTTTCCTTTATTTCATCTCCACGCACGCTCGCAAAGTGGATGACAACCTTTGCATATAGGCTTTGACAGCACAGGGTAAGGGCAGTCAATCACAGTGAGCCTTTGTGTGTGTGTGTGTGTGTGTGTGTGTGTGTGTGTGTATATGAGGTGTTTAAAGCAGAACATAGTGCTGTCATAAACATAAGACAAGACACAAACGCTCCCCGCTGATCCCAGAACACCACACACGGCACCGGGGCTTTATTGTAGACCTTCTGAGTGGTCGGAAGCAGGAGGGAGATTTACACATCTGGTGAGTAAGGCGCTTGCAAGCACTTAAGTTTGGGCATGGGTGGTGGACGGGGCATGGCCCTCCCTCGTTAACTTTCATAAAACAGCCCTTCAGTCGATAGCCCGCGCCGTAAAACTCCTGCATGGGATACCCCCGAGCTCGACTCCGACTGTATATCTCCAAATTTTAGCACGAAACGGATACACACCCTGGTTATTTACAGCCTCTTTCTGTAGATGTTTCCGAGATTTATCCGAGTTATGAAGCAGTCGCGGGTTCAGCCAGTATATACAACAAATTTTGTTTTATTGTGTCCATTTATGGGAGCAGACGATCATTTTGATTTGTGTCTGCATTTTTGGACTTTTCATATGCAAGTTTGGAATGTGGGGGGGAAAAAAAACTTTATATTCCAATAGTGTTCCGTTTATCCCATAAGAAATAACGGAACTAGAATGCATCCATTTTAGTGTCACCATCCTAACATATTTAATAACTGTACATGCAAGTTGAAAAGAAGTGAACATGCCTAACATATTTCTTTTGGCTGGGAGGTGAGTCTCTCCAGACTTCAGTCAAGTCAACTTTATTGTCAAATATGCTCTATGTGCATCATACAGCACAGTGAAATTTCTTTCCTCTCAACCGCAGTGCAACCACAGAAGAGAGAGGAGCCGCTGCGGGTATCCGCGCCGCCATCAACAGAACAGTTAACATAAAATGACAAAATAATGCAACACAACACATAAGACAGTGAATGCCCGAGTAATGATATAATGATGTGAATACGGTAAACTATGGATTTCTTTTTTCACAGTTATAACGGTCCTTTTGAAGGGAAACCATACTTACAACGTGGCCCACAAGAGTCATGAGTTTGACAATCGTGTTTTAGATCCTCACTTAGCTGAAGTCTTGTGAAATGTGGACATGTTGTTTTGAGGCAACATTTTTGCTCAAACTCCAAATTTTATAGCGTGAAAAGTGGTCAAATGTACAGGGTGAATGATTTTGGAAGTAAGGCCACCTCAGCATCCTTTAGGTACTGGAGCCACTCTGTTTTGTTAAGATCTAGCGCAGTATCTCTTCCTATCTTGAACATTTTGGTTTTATAGTGGAAGGACTGCAGCTTAAAGCCCTCGGTCCATTAGATTTAAAAAAAAAAAAGAACACAAAACAAACACGATGAACTGGTTCGGGAGGGAAACCGCACTTTCAAGCAACCAAAATGCCCTTGAGGGGTACTTTAAAACCAAAATGCTCAACATGTCACAGCTTTGTGGCATTTGTCACAGGTATGCGCTCCCAGTGTTTTCCCACCCACCCCTCCACTCGACCAGTAAGCAAGGCCCACATCTCCCAGCCACGTCCACCCATTTCAGGCTCTCCTGAGCCCTGACTCATGATCAGATATTTGGCCACACTCCTCTGCAGGACTCTCCAGCCCTTTTCCATGAATTGATCTACAACACGCCTGTACAAAAATGAAATATTAAAGCATTTGTCTCATTAAAGTGTCATCCCATTTTCTCCTGACTTTTTAACATGAGACATTCACATGTACTGTTTACGGTTTGTCGCAGATCAAATTGCTGTGGCTTTTTTTTGGTTTTGCAGGTGCCCGCCCATCTCCAAACAGTTTCTATTGGTTGTCCCACATGATGGCACAAAACTTTTTTTTCTTTTTTTCTGGTGTGTCAAAGTTTAGTTGCAAACGGGAGCACCAATTAAGAGTGATTGTTTTGTCCCACAGTCACCGAAGTAAATATTGGACTCTCTCTCACAAGCCGCAAACCTCCCAAACACCGTGGCACTAACATGACATTTTAACAACAGATGAATCCAGAGCAAATTAACTTCCCTCCACCGAGATCTGCCGACTCGCTTCTGTTGACGCTGAACCTTTAGTTTGGTTTGACGGCGCTTGCCAGTGTCTCTCTTTCTCGCACTCACTCCCTGACTGGATAAACAGACCTTTAAAGACAAAAAGGCAGAAATTAAGTCATAAATCGGACTGAAAACAGGCTTTTAAATCACCGCACAATGTAGCCAAGGTTGGGGTGGCGGTTGACAAAGTGGCGGACGCAAACCTTTATTTTATTTTTCTTACCACAGAGTTTTTTGCTGCGACTTTTACTAAGTGCATTTTTGGTGCGATCTCAACACGCAAAGTGCTTGTTTGAGGAAGTGTGTTTTGGGGATAGAAAGACGTGTTGTACATGAGAATCCAAATGAAAAAGTGTATCGGGACTTCAGGCAATGAGAGAAGGAAATGCTTCTTGACGTGCGTCCCCAAAAAAACAACCCGAGAATGTCTCGTCACATTTCCCATTGCAATCCTTACTTGTCATAAAATCCCTCACAGATACCGCAATTGACAACATAATCTGATGAGATTTGACAGAGATATGATCATGTGTTCAGGTTAAATGGGATTTTCCGTGTTAGAAGTAGAATTCTTGCCAAGATCAGATGAAACTGGGCTTGATTTTTATTGCTTGTAGCCGCCCACACACACACACACACACACACACACACACACACACACACACACACACACACACACACACACATACGCCAGGAAAATCCCCAAATCCCAACAGATTGGTCAATCAAAATCTAAAAACAAGAAGATACTCAAAAATGTATGTCAAAATATTTTTTCATGATCATAAAATTGATAATAATGATTCCTGATTCCTTTCGTTAATCATGCATTTCCCTTCTTATCAACAGCTTTCCATGAAAGAGTATTAAGGCCAGACTGAAAAGGAAAAAAAAAATTTGAGAGATGGAAGCCACAAATGGAGCGGAACTGTACAATATATCCATGTAATACCTGCCATTCATTTGTCATAATATTATGACTGTGTTCACTTGATAATACGTTATTTTCAAAATATTTCCATTTTTTTGTAATCATTACTGGACAGCTTTGTGGGCTAGGGGTAAGCATGTCTACCTCACAGTCGAGTGATTCTTGACCCTCTTCAGACACTTCTGTGCGTGTGCCGGATAGACACTAATGATTAGAAGTGTTGCAGAAAATCGATGGATGAATATTATATTTTTCATACCTGATTGGCTTGAAGAAATCTCAGGGCTACATTAACTTATAGTGAGGCATGTCCATTTTGACTCAAGCTCCAAATTACCAAATCTAATTCCTTGCCTTATAAAGGGCTACTTCAATTACGGGGGGAAAAAATGAATAATAAATAAATAAATAAACATCTTAAGTATTTACATTGAGCTTATCAGGACGGCAATTTGCGAGTTAATTTAGTCAGGCTACAATTTGAATGCCGGACATGACCTCAGATGATGCACAGGTTGAAATAGTAATAATAAAGACATTGGGGGGAATAAACACCTCTCCTATTTTTTTTTTTTTTTTTTTGCCGAGCAAAATTTATGCACATGAACCACCTCAGGCTAACACAGCTTAAATAGACACCCGCTTCATTAAGAAGATAAGAGCCTTGGGCTTTATGATGTTTAATATATGGTTGGACATATGAATGTGTTGAACGATGCAGTGGGCTGGGATGATTAAAAAGTAGAGATGCGATACAATCTACAATTTTATTAAGATGTTGAAAGACACAAAGAGGCGCTCAGCCTGCAGTACAGCTTGGATGGAGTCTTATCAGCGGAGAACACGAGGGATACGCTTCACACACAAATAACCCAAAAAGGTGCTGCGATTTAACGTCAGTGACAACATGATGAGACACGAGAAGGTGGGGAAGGGTTTAGTCCAAATATGCAAACGTGCCTACGAACCGGCACGTCGATAACAGCAACTTCAAAAGTTGGTACGGCGAGAGGGAAAAGACGGAGGGAAGGGTTTGTTCCACGCCCCAAAAATAATTAACAAAGTGGGTACAGATGGAAGTGGCAGATGGTTCCGTTTGTGATGGGCAGCCCGGGGCCGCTGTGGTGCTTTATGGGTGATGGATATTAGTCCGCGGAGCCCAAGGTCCTTCCTGAGGATTGTGGCATAATGTCAGTCACATGCTGAGCGAGGACAGCTATAGCATGTGATCCCTTAATTGGCCCGATTACAATTCAGTGAGAGTAATTTGATCTGTCCTGTGTGTGTGTGTGTGTGTGTGTGTGTGTGTGTGTGTGTGTGTGTGTGTGTGTGTGTGTGTGTGAGGGGAGGGCCTCACCTGCCCAACACTGGATTTACACTCAAACAATAACATACTATCTTCGTATTTATTTTAATCCTACACAGAAAAATTGACATACCTGCCCGGCACCACGTAAAACAATCTGTTTTTCTTTCTTGTCACGCTAGGTAAAACAAAATCATTTGCCAACGCAAAGTTAATACCATTTGA